ATCAACGAAAGGCCTCAGTTAGTAACAACGTTGTCGATATCCGTCATTGAAAAGCCTCAGTTAGTAACAACGTTGTTGATATCCATCATCGAAAAACCTAAGTTAGTAACAACGCTGTCGATATCCATCAACGAAAGGACTCAGTTAGTAACAACGCTGTCGATATCCGTCATCGAAAAGCCTCAGTTAGTAACAACGCTGTCGATATCCATCATCGAAAAGCCTCAGTTAGTAACAATGCTGTCGATATCCATTATCGAAAAGCCTCAGTTAGCAACAACACTGTCGATATCCATCATCGAAAAGACTCAGTTAGTAACAATGCTGTCGATATCCGTCATCGAAAAGCCTCAGTTAGTAACAATGCTGTCAATATCCGTCATCGAAAAGCCATCAGTTAGTAACAATGCTGTCGATATCCATCATCGAAAAGCCTAAGTCAGCAACAACGCTGTCGATATCCGTCATCGAAAAGCCTCAGTTAGTAACAACGCTGTTGAAATCCATCATCAAAAAGCCTAAGTTAGCAACAACGCTGTCAATATCTGTCATCGAAAAGCCTCGTTAGTATCAACGCTGTCGATATCCGTCATCAAAAAGCCTCAGTTAGTAACAACGCTGTCGATATCCGTCATTGAAAAGCCTCAGTTAGTGACAATGCTGTCGATATCCGTCATCAAAAAGCCTTAGTTAGTAACAACGCTGTCAATATCCATCATCGAAAAGCCTCAGTTAGTAACAACGCTGTCGATATCCGTCATTGAAAAGCCTCAGTTAGTGACAACGTTGTCGATATCCGTCATCGAAAAGCCTCAGTTAGTAACAACGCTGTCGATATCCATCATTGAAAGGCCTCAGTTAGTAACAACGCTGTCGATATTCGTCATCGAAAAGCCTAAGTTAGTAAGAACGCTGTTAATATCCGTCATTGAAAAGCCTCAGTTAGTAACAACGCTGTCGATATCCGTCATCGAAAAGCCTCAGTTAGTAAGAACGCTGTTAATATCCGTCATCGAAAAGCCTCAGTTAGTAACAATGCTGTCAATATCCGTCATCAAAAAGCTTCAGTTAGTAACAACGCTATCGATATCCGTCA